GGGGGGCTAGGGGGGGCTATAGCCCCGGGCCGCAAGTTGAAAGGGGCCACAGTGTGTCAACTCATTTTTTTTCAAAACATTATTATAACTTATAAATTTTAAATTTATGTCATATGGAAAATAGACTATGGACTTTGATACTTCATTACTGACACACAAGACCCAATAGGTACAGTGGTCGTCGTCGCTTCTTGCAACTCGTTATCGTCGTTATCGAACTGGGAATAAAGATCCTGCATTGTGGCCGTCCATGAGTGAAACCATCCGAGAAAAATGTATACAATTAGGACCGGCATATTTCCAAAATAAAAAMAACGGATTTTCAGCTTCCTTACGAGATTATAAAAACCAAAAAAGGTATTTTTCTTGTAATTTTTTTACACGAACTTTGGTGAATGGAGAGAAACACGAACGATTATGGTTGATGTACTCTGAATCAACAGGGAACGTATTTTGTTTTGTCTGTATATTATTCAATAGTAATAGTTCAATGAATCCTTTTGTAAAAAATGGATTTTCAAATTGGAAAAAGGGCGATGAGAGAATTAGTGGTCATGAAAACAGTTCTGTACACCAGGTATGCACGATGAAATGGCTTCATCGTTTGAATAATAAAACAAATATTAATAAACAGTTAACGAAACAATTAGAAGTAGAAGAAAATGATTGGATCGATATTTTAAAACGCGTTGTTGAAGCTATTCGTTTTCTTTCGACACGAGGTCTTACATTTCGAGGTAGTCATGAAGTGATTGGAGTTACGGATAATGGTAATTATTTAGGAATACTTGAGTTGATTGCTAAATTTGATCCTGTGTTGAAAGCACACATAAAAAATTATGGTAACAAAGGCAGGGGCAGTGTGTCTTACATATCAAAAACCATCTGTGAGGAACTTATTATTGGTATCATGTCTTTAAAAGTGTTTGATCACATTGTCGATGAAATTATTAAATCTAAGTATTTTGGTATTGTCGTTGATTCAACTCCAGATCTTGCCCATATTGATCAGCTGTCGATAATCATACGTTATTGTTTGAATGGTACGGTACATGAAAGATTTCTTGGCTTTGTCACTTTTCATAGTCATACTGGTGAAGCTCTAGCTACGACTGTCTTAGAATTTCTCAAACGAAGTGGTATCGATATTGCCAACTGTCGTGCGCAAACGTATGATAATGCTGCCAACATGTCTGGGAAATATCGTGGACTACAGGCTCAAATTAAAGATCTAAATGATTTAGCATTTTATGTCCCATGTGTGGCACATTCTTTAAATTTAGTTGGAGATTACAGTGCAAAAGAATGTTTAGAAGCAATCAATTTTTTTTCAATTCTTCAAAAATTATATGCGTTTTTTGCTGCCTCTACGCATAGATGGGATGTATTATTAAGAAACAGTAAAAAAAGTAGTAAGACTTTAAAAAGTCTCTCCAGTACACGGTGGTCTTGTCGTAATGATGCTATTGAAGCATTAGCTGGTAATTATGATGAGATATTTAATACGTTATCTGACATTTCTAAAGATATGAATGAAAATGCTGACACTCGTCATGATGCCAATTCAATTAAGAAAAAGTTAATAAAATTAGAAATAGCTTTTATGACTATTTTTTGGAAACGTGTTCTAGGCAGATTCAATGCTACAAGTGTTTATTTACAAAGAATTGAAATTGATATGGTTTCTGGTAATAGTATGCTAC